GGGGGAGCCCATGGCCCAAGGGGGGGACTGGAGGACTCACAGCCCAAGTAGGGAACCCTGAGCAAGGTGGCTCTGTAGTGACCCTTGGGCTGGGAAGCATCTTGGGGAGAGGTGCCTCTGCCACTCGGGGCACGGTGGCCCTGGCCGCAGGCGGCACCTCCGGGTAGGAAGGGACAGGGTACAGGCTCTGCCGGAACTAATATGGAGGCCTTGAGGGAGCTCTGCTCTGCACTGACATCAGCTGGGGGAGACCCCGATGTGGGTCTGGGCAGGTTCCCCTCATCTTGTCTGGATGCTCAGGAAGGTGACGGCCTTGGTCTGAGGGTGTGGCTTTGCGTCATCAAAAGAAGGGTCCCAGGTGTGGCCAGGGTTGGAAACGCGGTGAGTACAAGGGTACAGGCTCCCTGAGAAGAGCAGAGACCCCCACAGTGTCTGCTCAGGGTGTGGGCTTCACCTGTCCTCATTCTCAGGAGGATTGGCGGGGGATTGGAAGCGAGGTGCTCTCTCTTCTGCCAGATTCCCTTTGAGCCAGATCTTTGGGGTGGCCACACCAACCGGGGCCATCCAGTCCTCCCCAGAGATAAAGATGGAGATCCTGAGGGGACTGGGGGAACCCCCCACCGCAGAACTGATAGGGTTCAGGCCCTGCCGTGGGTCTTGTGATAACCAGGGCTGGGGAAGAAATGGGGTTCCTGCTCTCCGCGAGGTGAGGTGCTTATTCCGGGAGGTCTTCCCGTCAGTAAGCGCGTTGTGTCTGGTGAGCAGGGAGAGGAGTCCTGGGATCTGCAGACCCTGCGGAGGACGTTTGTGAGGGCTGAGTGGACTCCACTCGAGATCAGAAGTACCACCTCACTGACAGCCTTTTCTGATCACTGGTGAGATGGGGGTGGGGATGTGATTGCTCCTCATGTTTCTCTCTGGGTCTCAGGAGGAGAGAACCTTTTCTAAGAGGACACCACCAGATCATCGCGAGAGGCACATCTGCTCACCAGAAGGAAGAGTCCCAGGTTCTGACAAGAGTCCAGGTGAGGACCATGAGAAAGGAGTCACTATACCTCAGGGGTCTCAGGATACTGGGATGCCCCTCCTGCCAGCCATGGGAACCCAGGGCAGGGCTATCGGGCTGGGTCCCAGCTCCGAGGTCAGGAGGGAAGCGCTTGGTCAGCGGGTCTGGACTCCGGCCAGCTGAGGGAATCCCAGGCCCTGGCAGGGCTCCAGGTGAGCCCCCAGCATTCCGCCATGCAGGACCCTGGAGCTCTGGGCAAGTGTGGCCAGATGAGGGGCCCTTGTTGCTGTGTTCTGCCTCAGGTGCGTGGCCAGTTCTGAGTTTTACATCAGGCCCTCAGAGGGGCACTAGGAGGAAGGTGAGGCTACCGAGCGAGCACAGACCGAACCTGTGACTCCAGAAAAGAGGAGCCCACAGTTTTTGAAACCGCCCCCCCCCAGTCAGCCTAGAGCCTCGGGTTTGTGGCACCTGCACCCTGAAGAGCCATCTCACTTTCTCCTTCAGGTTCTTGGGGTCATTCCCCCAGGAAGACAGGGGTGAGGCCCCAGAGCGCCCCTCAGTGCCTGTAAGCGCCTGAGAGTCACCATCGTCAGCCCCGTCCAGGGTGCGATTCTCAGCCAAGGCCGCGCCCTCCTCTACCCGCAGGCCCGCTGCCAGCCTGTGCCGTCATGCCTGCGAATCACAAGTATGTGCTCTGCAATCTTGATGAAGACCGCCAGGAGCCAAGAGAAGATGAGCCTTTCCTCCATATGCTCTGGGGCGAGGAGGAGGGGATGGTCACCTCCTCTTCCTCTTCCTCTGCCTCTGCCTCTGCCTCTTCCTCATCCCACCAGTCCCCGGTGAGCGAGGGTGTGCCAGAGGAGGCTGCTGGGGATGCCGATGCTCCCCATAGCCCTCCCAGTGCCCCTTCCTCCCCTCCAGCCCTGGCTGCGCCTAGTGCCAGCGTCCAGCATGAGGAGGGGGCTGCAGAAGCCCGGGCCGGCGCACACGAAGCCGTGCACGAGAAGATGGCTGAGATGGTGGAGTTCCTGCTGTTCAAGTACCGCGTCAAGGAGCTGGTCACCGAGGCGGAAATGGTGCATGTGGTCCTCGGCGGTGAGCAGGGGCACTTCCCTGTGGCCTTCTGCCAGGCCTGCGAGTGTCTGCAGCTGGTCTTCGGGCTGGAGGTGCAGGAAACAGAGCCGGATGGCGACACCTATATCGTGATCACTGCCCTGGGCCTCACCTATGACGGGCTGACCAGCCCTGAGGAGACCTTGCCCAAGACGGGCCTGCTGGTGATGGTCCTGGCCGTGGTCCTCCTGGGTGGCGACCGTGCCTCCGAGGCGCACATGTGGGAAGCTCTAGGTGTGATGGGGGTGTTTGCAGGGGTGCAGCACTTCATCTTTGGGGAGCCCAGGCTGCTCCTCACTGAAGCGTGGGTGGAGGAGCAGTACCTGGAGTACCGGCAGGTGCCCCACAGTGATCCCCCCCGCTACGAGTTCCTGTGGGGCCCCCGGGCTCACGCCGAGACCAGCAGGATGGAAGTCCTGGGGCATTTGCTCAGGATCAATAGGAAGCAGCCCAATGCCTTCCTCGCTTTCTCTGAGTAGGTGTGAGCAAGGATGGGGCCTGAGCCCTGTGGTGGAGGGAGTGGGCATCTCGGGCGGGGAGAGTTGGGCACAGGGTGCATACATCGCCTGGGGCCCGCGGTGATGACTGCACACTGACGTTTGTTTTCTTCAGACAGTTTTCAGATGTTGTTCCTCTGAGGAAGCTTTGTTAGCTTCCGGGCCTGCGTTTGTGAGTTAGCTGCCACGTGACCGGTGCGGACCCAGTTCCGGGGGAGCCTTACCCTGTGGGTTTGACACCGGAGCGGACGGCGGCGTCGGGTGGGGAGCGCGGAGGTGGGCGCGTGTAGGCGGTCAGCTGGGTGGCATGAAGCATGGACAGCGGAGACCCAGCGCCTGCCTGTACCCCTCCCTGTGTTACTCAATAAAATAAAGCATGGACACGTCTGTGCTTCGAGTGGGCTGTTCGGGGAGGAGAGACGCGTCCACGGGAGCCCCGCTCTGGCCAGGCCTGCCCTCACCGGCCCTGAGCCTCTGCTCCTTGGAAGCACTTGGGACCTGGAAGTTCCTGGGGGGACACGAGGACTCGGCGCGCCCCGCCCACAGTGCCAGTGTAGGAGCCGCAGTCAGGAGCAAGGGGGTGACATGTCCCCCGGAGACAGGAGTCAGGCAGGCAGCCTGGGGCTTGGGGACCTGCAGTGCCCTGTGGGGTGACCGCCCTCATGGGGTGCGGGGGGCAGGGCCAGAGTCAGGTTTCCTTAGGGGAGAGAAACACCTGGAGTGGAGACCGCTGCCGGCTGCTGTGCTCTTGTTGAGACGGCCCACCAGCTCCTGCGTTTCTCCGCAGGTGCGCGGGACTCTTGTCCCCGAGCTCTGGACACGGTGGAGAACAGGTGTTCACACCTGTCATGGGCAAGGGTTTCCCAAGGAAGCATGTCTTGTCCTCCGGTTAGTCCCAGAAGTCCCGGTCTGGGGTCTCTCCCTGCTCGGCAGAGCCAGAGTGACCGCTGACCGCAGTTGACGTGGCTCCCCCGCGTGTCATTTGGCCAATTGTAAGCTGGGTGGATGCCCTAAGGGATGAAAATCGTGGTTTGTGTGCAAGAGCAGCTGCCGAAGAGGTGGAGCGGTCTCTGGCTGAATTCTGGGCGCCTGCCGAGTTAAACAGTAAATCCTCTCGGAGCCGCTACTGGGGGCCAGTGATAACTGCGCCCCTCATCTGCCCTTCCCCTCAGACCGCCGCAAGACCCCACTCTCATTTCCCTTCTTCTCTACCTTGCTACTGACCTGGCACTCCGCACGTGGCCCTCGGCGTCATGGGCGTCCCACCCTGGGGTTTAGGAGGACACACTTGGGGAGCGCTCGCCGGCCAACTGCTGCCGCCTTCTGCTTACATGGCCAAACCCATGGAACCGCCACGATGAGCTTGTTTCTGTGCCAGGCTCCCATGGGAGGACTCATTCTACATCTGGCCAGTGCCAGAGACACTTGCGGCCTCCCAGGTCCGGCGGCAGGGGTGGTGGGCAGTGCCCGGTGGCCAGCAGCTGCCAATGGGCTGCAGCAGGGTTGCCACCCTTGGCTGGCAGCTGCTCCTGGACCTGTGGGTCTTAAACATTCTTCAGAGTTTTCTTAGCAAACTCACTGCCCCCTTCGCCTGCACATTTGAGCTAGTTCCTCCTGCTCGTTTGACCCGGTCCAAATGACTGACCTCCGTCTCCTGATTGGACCCTGACTGATGCCATCATCATCGGAAATCGAATGTTTGGGGGGGGTGTGGTTCATGGTGCTGCTGGGCGGTAGACACCCACCGTCTTGTCACAGACGAAGCACAGGACGGGGTGTCCGCCCATCTCCCAGCCCGCACGATGGCCATCGTGACGAAGCCTGCATCTCTGCCCGACTTGAACTGGACTGCGAACCGTGGCAAGCCGCCTGCACATCCAGCTCTGGCGGAGGCTGGAGCCTCTGTGCTAGGGGTGAGTCAGCAACTTAGAATATCATCCTCACTGTGAGGAAAAACAAGAGGCTCTGAGCTGAAAGCTTTATGTCTGTATGGCAAGTGGACAGCACTGTTTAAAAGAATTTCAATCCGGGCCCTCTCTGGTGGCGTAAAGGGTAAGGCCAGCACTGCAAGCCAGAGGCAGCTTCAGTGCGAGTTCGATCCCCGCCCCGGAGCTGACCCACATGGCGCGGCAGACCTCTCCTGACCCACCTGCTGCTCCCCTCAGCAGTGTGCTTCATCACTCAGCCTGTTTTTCCCCTACTCTGTCCCTGGTGAGTCCTCTCACCACCCCTGCACTTATGGTTTGTACCTCAGTTCTGTATGCATAAAAAAAGTTTTTAGAAATGTTCAATCCAAACGATAAAAAGAAATGTGTTATTCAGGGAAATGGGAAAGCAGAAGGAGCAAGCATGGATGAGGCCATAAGTGGACCCCAATACCAGGAGGTGTCCCCAACTTAGCCCAGAGGGTTGCAGCAAAGCACGTTGACATTATAGATTTCATATCCCTCCCCCCCCCCAATGTCCGAGAGATCAAAACTACAGCAGTTCCAAGAAAAACGACTGTTCCTGCCGCTGCAGTCCAGTAGCCGGTCCTGCTTCCCTGCGGGGCCTTGAGCCAAGTTCCCTGGATTTCCTGAAGTCCCATTTCTGCCCAGTGGAAAACAAATATCTCTGTGGGGCCGCTGGGCCTAGGACCATGTCTGCAGCACGTGGAGTGCTCTCTGGTGTTCGTGTGAACGATTGCATAATTTCTGCCTGTTTCTAGTAAAAGTGAAAATACTGCAATGATAATAAGGTTCTGACAAAATAATACTCTGGCAATGGCAAGGAATCCAAAGGCCTCTTGGATTTGGATTTATTTTGGCAATTTTGCCTCTAAAACCCACCTTCCCCACAGATACATTGATACTTGTCGGCGGACAGCTTGCTTCACAGCAAAGACGGGCCGCTGGACAAGATGGCTCCTCTACCCGAGGGCGCCCTCCACGCAAGAGGTGCCTGGGAGCCGTTAGTAGCCGACAGTCCTGGCAGCTGGGGGATGGGTGCGAAGTTGGCTACCTAAGTCCACCACGGACTCCAACATCATCCATCAGCTTCGACGTTGACAAGGTGTCATCTTGGGTGGCAAGTGGCGAGGGCACAGGTGCTATGAAAGAGCAGTTTATATTTGCCCAGTGCTTACCAGCTGCCAGGCCCTGCGCTTTGCATACACGGAAATTCACATGATTGCTACCACAACCCCATGATCCCCTGTGTTGTTGCAGAAACGGAGCACGGCCCCTGGCCCAGAACTCCCCGGGGGCTGTGGGCTCCACACTCAGCCGCTGGCCAAAGGACTCGGAAGGCTCTCAAGTAAAGCAGTTGAGAGTATCTCTCTTGGCCCGAAGTAGACATCCCCATGCCTCAGTGTTTACTGTCTACAAACTTAGCAGCGCCTGCCTCGTTCCACCAAGCAACTATCCTCGCTGCTCAAAGTTGGATGGAGAAATGGAGTCCTTAGCTTAACGTTTGAATGTGGATAGCTTTAGCATCTGGAAATCCCTGACGCTCAAAACATTCTTACAAGCAGTGAAACTGTGCCGACCAGCCCGCCTGCTCCCCGTTCCCCCCAGGGCCGGAGAGCCTCCAGGGGTCTCACTGACACCTGGCGCCTTTGTCCCCACCGGGTTGAGTCCCGTGGGGGTAGTATTCAGAATGAAAAGCTTCCTCCCCTAACTGCATGATCAACAGGTCGGGGCGAGGCTTGACTTTCTGTTCTGGGAGCTGGCAGCAGGCATATAGCATCCTTAGCGATGATGACTTTCTGCCGTGGGGGCTGGGGGTGGGGTGGGGGTTATGTGCTTGTTCTGCTTTTTGTCTGTGTTTTCTGCTTTCTTGGTTCATGCAGTTTATAAGTCTGAGACTAACTGATCTGAGCTCTGGTGTCTCCCTTTCCCCCCCATGATGGTTAATTTCACGTGTCAACTTCACTGGGTCGCGAGGTGTGCAGATACCTCGTCACCCGCGATTTGGGGATATGTTCTCTGAACGGAGGATGTTTCTGGAGCAGATGGGCATTTGCATGGGTGGGCTGCATCCAATCCATCGAGGGGCTGAGCAGGACATAAGGTGAAGGAGGGGGAATTCTGCCTCTGACTGCTGAGCTGGACAGCCACTTTCTGCTGCCTCCGTGCAGCCGCGTCTCAGGCGCGCAACTGCAGGCTGCCCCCTCGCTGCTGGAGGGGAGCCACGTGGAGAGCATGAGGAGCAATGACGCGAGGCCAGGCTCTAACAGCAGAGGCATGGAGGCCTCTGCTGCCAGCCCACTGACGCGAACGCGCTGATTCTTCCCCAGCGCCTCCAGGAAAGACCCGCCCTGCCAATGGCTGGCTCCCGACCTTACCAGGGAGAAAATAGATGTGTGTCGTTTAAGCTGCTCCGTGTGTGGTAATTTGTCACAGCAGCAAATAGCAAATGCAGACCTCCGTGCTGTGCAACAAATAACTATCATGTTGTGAATACTCAAATTAAATGTCCGTGTCAACAGGTCAACATTTTCAGACAGATTCTTGGACATCTCCACTGGGGTGACCTAGGGGCTATTGGTGCGTCTGAGGTGAATGGAGTGCATGTTGGACTTGATACAAAGCTGGATCCCAGGCAGAAATGTCTTGCAAGGACACGTAGAACTGAAGGCCATTTGTTGCTTTGGGCAACAAAAACGGATACAAGAAAGCACACCGTGAAACTGGACACACTCCCAAGGCTTGGCCCACAGATTGCTGGCGGACCTGGATGTCCTCTGCTGAGGCCTACAATAATGGGATCGAAGTCATGATCTTCCGACATCGTGAGTCCTCCAAATGACAGGACCATTTCTCTGTGGTGGTATTGGCATGTTTTTCAATAGAAGAGTCAACTTGTTCATTCCTAGCAAAATGATGCTTTTGACAAATTCGTCTAGCAAGAAACGGTCGCGTCTACTTTCATTTGTTTGATTCCTTTCCCAGCAGCAAAACTGGTGGCCTCATCTATAATGCCCAGATCGTGGATCTCAAGATTAAATTCAAAGGGTTTGTTTCAAATGAAAACACACCCACGTTTTATTACCTCTCTCTTGAGTTCTAGGCCCCTGTCACCAACAGTCTCTTGGGTATCTCTGTTGGCTGGGAAAATTCACAGCCACCTCCCAACGCCCCCAGATACCATGACATAGGGTGTGCAGTGCACAAGTGGGGGTTCCATTGAAGGGGACCGTTCACAGAGCAGAACTTGTAGCACCCCCGGTCTGTTACGGCAGCTTCTTGGCACATGGAGTCAAAGGTTGAGCTTTAATAACATCGCCACGTTATGACTATCTCAAGGCCAACGAGCCAAACGTGCTGAAAAAGGACTGTCACGTTCTCAGGTCCGCGAAGGCACCAGGTGGGCTGGGACTCGGGGTCAAA